GTCGTGGGACGAATGGTCGGGTTGTCACATATATACAGGGTTGGCGTGGGACGAATAGCCGGGTTGTCACATATATACAGGGTTGGCGTGGGGCGAATGGCCGGGTTGTCACATATATACAGGGTTGGCGTGTGACGAATGACCAAATACGTCACAAAAGATCACGTATTTATGTGTTTTGTTCTCAGCTAGATTAAAACAAGTAATTAAAAAAAGTCTAGTGACAATTTTAGCGCAATTTCCTTGTGTTATCTAAAAATAGCTCTGTCGTAGCGTAAATCAAGAGCAGGGTTAGTAAAACCATTCGTTAGTTATTAAAACGTTTTTTATTAATTTTTTTTTTCAGTATTTTACATGTTTTATTTACAATAGAGTAACATGACTAAAAACCATTGCGCGCCCAGCTACCGAACGTGACGTCGCATCCATTGAACGTGATGGCGCAGCTATTGAACGTGATGACGCGTGTGGTGTGGTTGCATAAAATGCCTACTAATTCGGTCCAAATTTTAATTAATTCAAAAATTTTTTTGTGACCGAACGAAAGGATATTTTTGAAAACTTTCTTCGGCAATATTGTTCTAAATTATAGCAGAAATCGATTGGTACATGTTTCAAGTCGCTAAGTGGTCTGGTTGCCAAGATATGGGCCAAAAACTGCTTTTTTTCGAGGTTTTTTGGCTTTTCCGGGAAATCCATGAAAGAAACCCGGAATTTTTATGGCCTATGTTCATCCTCGTAAATTGCTTAACATAATTGCTTTTGGAACTAGTCATCGATATTGCTTCGTTGAGGAGGAGATACGACTTAAAGCTGCGGACACACATCCATCCATCCATCCATCCATTCATTCATACATCCAGAAATGACGGGTTAATAAACGCAATTCTCCAGAATGGAAATTGCGCTAAAAATATGTACCAGATGAAACTGAGATTTACACCACATATAATACGTATATAATGGGATGGGAGGGGTTACGTAACTAAATATTACTAGAGTGAGAGGTTGGGGACTTGTGACTTGAGTTTTGGGAGGCAGAGAATCAGACTTTTGTCTGAGTGTGGAGGAGGGGGAGGGGGGGGGGGCATATTGTTTCGTCATTGGTAGAAGACCAAGTGTGGTAAACGTACAACTACAACATTGAACATATAAAGACAGGATATTAAAAGTGGTGAGACACGATGCTGTAGGTGAGACAGGATGTTGTAGGTGAGAGGATGTTATAGGTGAGACAGGATGTTGTAGGTGAGACAGGATGTTGTAGGTGTGACAGGATGTTGTAGGTGAGACAGGATGTTGTAGGTGAGAGGATGTCGTAGGTGAGACAGGATGTTGTAGGTGAGACAGGATGTTGTAGGTGAGACAGGATGTTGTAGGTGAGACAGGATGTTGTAGGTGAGAGGATGTTGTAGATGAGACACGATGTTGTAGGTGAGACAGGATGTTGTTGGTGATAAGACATGATGTTGTAGGTGAGACAAGATGTTGTAGGTGAGACAGGATGTTGTAGGTGAGACAGGATGTTGTAGGTGAGACAGGATGTTGTAGGTGAGACAAGATGAAGTAGGTGAGACAGGATGTTGTAAGTGAGACATGATGTTGTAGGTGAGACAGGATGTTGTAGGTGAGACAGGATGTTGTAGGTGAGACAAGATGAAGTAGGTGAGACAGGATGTTGTAAGTGAGACATGATGTTGTAGGTGAGACAGGATGTTGTAGGTGAGACAGGATGTTGTAGGTGAGACAAGATGAAGTAGGTGAGACAGGATGTTGTAGGTGAGACAAGATGTTGTAGGTGAGATATGATGTTGTAGGTGAAACAGGATGTTGTAGGTGAGACAAGATGAAGTAGGTGAGACAGGATGTTGTAGGTGAGACAGGATGTTGTAGGTGAGACATGATGTTGTAGGTGAAACAGGATGTTGTAGGTGAGACAGGATGTTGTAGGTGAGACAGGATGTTGTAGGTGAGACAGGATGTTGTAGGTGAGACAGGATGTTGTAGGTGAGACAGGATGTTGTAGGTGGTGAGACAGGATGTTGTAGTGGTGAGACAGGATGTTGTGGGTGTGACAGGATGTTGTAGCTGAGACAGGATGTTGTAGGTGAGACAGGATGTTGTAGGTGAGACAGGATGTTGTAGGTGAGACAGGATGTTGTAGGTGAGACAGGATGTTGTAGGTGAGACTTGATGTTGTAGGTGAGACAGGATGTTGCAGGTGAGACATGATGTTGTAGGTGAGACTTGATGTTGTAGGTGAGACAGGATGTTGTAGGTGAGACAGGATGTTGTAGGTGAGACAGGATGTTGTAGGTGAGACTTGATGTTGTAGGTGAGACAGGATGTTGTAGGTGAGACAGGATGTTGTAGGTGAGACAGGATGTTGTAGGTGACAGAATGTTGTAGGTGAGACAGGATGTTGTAGGTGAGACTGGATGTTGTAGATGAGACATGATGTTGTAGGTGGTGAGACATGATGTTGTAGGGGAGACAGGATGTTGTAGGTGAGAGGATGTTGTAGATGAGACACGATGTTGTAGGTGAGACAGGATGTTGTAGGTGAGACAGGATGTTGTAGGTGAGACAGGATGTTGTAGGTGAGACAGGATGTTGTAGGTGAGACAGGATGTTGTAGGTGAGACAGGATGTTGTAGGTGAGACAGGATGTTGTAGGTGAGACAGGATGTTGCAAGTGAGACAGGATGTTGTAGTGGTGAGACAGGATGTTGTAGGTGAGACAGGATGTTGTAGGTGAGACAGGATGTTGTAGGTGAGACAGGATGTTGTAGGTGAGACAGGATGTTGCAAGTGAGACAGGACGTTGTAGTGGTGAGACAGGATGTTGTAGGTGAGACAGGATGTTGTAGGTGAGACAGGATGTTGTAGGTGAGACAGGATGTTGTAGGTGAGACAGGATGTTGTAGGTGAGACTGGTTGTTGCAAGTGAGACAGGATGTTGTAGGTAAGACAGGATGTTGTAGGTGAGACAGGATGTTGTAGGTGAGACAGGATGTTGTAGGTGAGACAGGATGTTGTAGATGAGACAGGATGTTGTAGGTAAGACAGGATGGTGTGGGTGAGACAGGATGTTGTAGGTCGTGAGACAGGATGTTGTAGGTGAGACAGGATGTTGTAGGTGAGACATGATGTTGTAGGTGAGACAGGATGTTGTAGGTGAGACATGATGTTGTAGGTGGTGAGACAGGATGTTGTAGATAAAACAAGATGTTGTAGGTGAGACAGGATGTTGCAGGTAAGACAGGATGTTGTAGGTGTAACAGGATGTTAGACAGGAGGTAAGACATGTTGTTGTAGGTGAGAGGATGTTGTAGGTGAGACAAATGTTGTAGGTGAAACAGGATGTTGTTGGTGATAAGACATGATGTTGTAGGTGAGACAAGATGTTGTAGGTGAGAGGATGTTGTAGGTGAGACAAGATGTTGTAGGTGAGACAGGATGTTGTAGGGGGTGAGTCAGGATGTGGACGGTGAGTCAGTATGTTGTAGGTGAAACAGGATGTTGTTGGTGATAAGACATGATGTTGTAGGTGAGACAAGATGTTGTAGGTGAGAGGATGTTGTAGGTGAGACAAGATGTTGTAGGTGAGACAGGATGTTGTAGGGGGTGAGTCAGGATGTGGACGGTGAGTCAGGATGTTGTAGGTGAAACAGGATGTTGTTGGTGATAAGACATGATGTTGTAGGTGAGACAAGATGTTGTAGGTGAGACATGATGTTGTAGGTGGTGAGACAGGATCTTGTAGGTGAGACAGGATGTTGTTGGTGATCAGACATAAGGTTTTATGTGAGACAAGATGTAGGTGAGACATGATGTTGTAGGTGGTGAGACAGGATGTTGTAGGTGAGACAAGATGTTGTAGGTGAGACAGGATGTTGTAGGGGGTGAGTCAGGATGTGGACGGTGAGTCAGGATGTTGTAGGTGAAACAGGATGTTGTTGGTGATAAGACATGATGTTGTAGGTGAGACAAGATGTTGTAGGTGAGACAGGTTGTTGTAGGTGGTGAGACAGGATGTTGTAGGTGAAATAGGATGTTGTAGGTTGTGAGACAGGATGTTGTAGGTGAGACAAGATGTTGTAGGTGAGACAGGATGTTGTAGGTGAGACAGGATGTTGTAGGTGAGACAGGATGTTGTAGGTGAGACAAGATGCTGTAGGTGAGACAGGATGTTGTAAGTGAGACATGATGTTGTAGGTGAGACATGATGTTGTAGGTGAGACAGGATGTTGTAGGTGAGACAGGATGTTGTAGGTGAGACTTGATGTTGTAGGTGAGACAGGATGTTGTAGGTGAGACAGGATGTTGTAGGTGAGACAGGATGTTGTAGGTGAGACTTGATGTTGTAGGTGAGACAGGATGTTGCAGGTGAGACATGATGTTGTAGGTGAGACTTGATGTTGTAGGTGAGACAGGATGTTGTAGGTGAGACAGGATGTTGTAGGTGAGACAGGATGTTGTAGGTGAGACTTGATGTTGTAGGTGAGACAGGATGTTGTAGGTGAGACAGGATGTTGTAGGTGAGACAGGATGTTGTAGGTGAGACTTGATGTTGTAGGTGAGACAGGATGTTGCAGGTGAGACATGATGTTGTAGGTGAGACTTGATGTTGTAGGTGAGACAGGATGTTGTAGGTGAGACAGGATGTTGTAGGTGAGACAGGATGTTGTAGGTGAGACTTGATGTTGTAGGTGAGACTTGATGTTGTAGGTGAGACATGATGTTGTAGGTGAGACTTGATGTTGTAGGTGAGACTTGATGTTGTAGGTGAGACAGGATGTTGTAGGTGAGACAGGATGTTGTAGGTGAGACTTGATGTTGTAGGTGAGACAGGATGTTGTAGATGAGACAGGATGTTGTAGGTGGTGAGACAGGATGTTGTAGTGGTGAGACAGGATGTTGTAGTGGTGAGACAGGATGTTGTAGGTAAGACAGGATGTTGTAGGTGAGACATGTGAAATGTACCCTGCCTGTTGCAGGTACCTGTCAGCCTCACAGCTTCAGGCCACCGATGCCAGAAAAGCCTTCCCGTGTATGGACGAGCCGGACATGAAGGCGGTCTTTAAGCTTACAATTGTTTACCAGACAAGTGAGTTTTATTTAGCTTTAAGCTCTCAATTGTTTACCAGACAAGTGAGTTTTATTCAGCTTTAAGCTCACAATTATTTACCTGACAATGAGTTTTATTTCTCTTATATATGCTTTAAGCTAACTTTTTTTTTATACACTAATCAGTTTTCTTTAGCTCAATAGGTGCTTAAAGCTCATACTTATTTATTAGACAATTTTGTTTTCTTTAGTCCAAAACATACATTTATAAATCTGTTTATGTGTGTGTCCTTGGTTTAGCTTAAACTTTTTCGATTATGAATTGAACTCCGTTAGGTTGTGGAATTTGTTTAGCTCCATTAGGTTGTGATCTTGTTTAGCTCCGTTAGGTTGTGAATTTGTTTAGCTCTGTTATGTTGTGAATGTGTTTAGCTCCGTTAGAATGTGAACTTGTTTCGCTCTATAAGGTTGTAAATTTGTTTGGCTCCGTTAGGTTGTAAATTTATTTAGCTCCGTTAGGTTGTGAATTTGTTTAGCTCTAAACTTATTTATCTCCATCCTCGTGATATTGCCCCGGCCAACAAATATGTCGCACAAACACACCAGATGTCGCGGCTATTAGAATATTGCACATTTGAATATATCAAGCGCACGCATACACCGCACTGCCTGCGGCCAGGATCGCGTCCCTTGTCTCTACCAGTTATCCAGTTATCTCCCTTATTCCTGTCTTCTCCACTAACCTCCCTTGTTCCTATTTCCACCAGTTACTTACCTTGTTTTCATCTCTACCAGTTACTTCCCTTGTTTCTATCTATACCAGTTACCCCTTGTTTCCATCTCCACCAGTTACTTCCCTTGTTTCCATCTCTATCAGTAACCTCCCTTGTTTCCATCTCTACCAGTTACTTCCCTTGTTTCCATCTCTACCAGTTACTCCCCTTGTTTCCATCTCTACCAGTTACTTCCCTTATTTCCATCTTTACCAGTTACTCCCCTTGTTTCCATCTCTACCAGTTACTTCCCTTATTTCCATCTCTACCAGTTACTTCCCTTATTTCCATCTCTACCAGTTACTTCCCTTGTTTCCATCTCTACCAGTTACTTCCCTTATTTCCATCTCTACCAGTTACTTCCCTTATTTCCATCTCTACCAGTTACTCCCCTTGTTTCCATCTCTACCAGTTACTTCCCTTATTTCCATCTCTACCAGTTACTTCCCTTGTTTACATCTCTACCAGTTACTTCCCTTATTTCCATCTCTACCAGTTACTTCCCTTATTTCCATCTCTACCAGTTACTTCCCTTATTTCCATCTCTACCAGTTACTTCCCTTATTTCCATCTCTACCAGTTACTCCCCTTGTTTCCATCTCTACCAGTTACTTCCCTTATTTCCATCTCTACCAGTTACTTCCCTTATTTCCATCTCTACCAGTTACTTCCCTTATTTCCATCTCTACCAGTTACTTCCCTTATTTCCATCTCTACCAGTTACTCCCCTTGTTTCCATCTCTACCAGTTACTTCCCTTATTTCCATCTCTACCAGTTACTTCCCTTGTTTACATCTCTACCAGTTATCTCCCTTGCCCCCGGCTCCACAAGTTGAACCAAACAAACGAATCTTCGCGTACTCGAGTATTTCTTCAGCACGATATTCTGGGATCATTAAAGCAAGAAGCAAACACCATCCATCATTTAGCTAGCCTGGGATCAATTTTTGAGTATAGATTACGGTAATCCGATTAGGTCAAGAGCCGGAGAAACAGATTAAGGAGAGTTCGGGCCGGCCGCGACGTGCAGTTGTAGACATTGGACTAATCTCATAGGCTCGTTCTGTCTGGCTCTTAGCATAATCGATTACTGCTAATGTCATCGATACGTTTTAACAGCTCCGTTATCTCTTTTGGTGGAGAGGTGTACATACTCGCGTGTACATACACATGTGTACATTTACACGTTTACATACACACGTGTACATACACACGTGTACATTTACACGTGTACATACACACGTGTACATACACACGTGTACATACACACGTGTACATACTCACGTGTACATACACACGTGTACATACACACATGTACAAACACACGTGTACACTACACACGTGTACATACACACGTGTACATACACACGTGTACATACACACGTGTACATACACACGTGTATATGCTATACATGTACTTACGTGTACATAATAGTCGTGTACACCCTTGCACACACTTAACATGTGTAGAAATGTGTACACTTGTGTATACACTACTCACGTACATATACTACATACGTGTACATACAACACACTCGTACACACTACACACGTAAAAAAACCCTACTATACAGGACAATTTATTCGATTGTTTCCATAACAAATTGCTTTAGCAAGTCTAATTAGGTTCTTTGTCCAATTCTTTGTCTAGTATCATCATAAGTACCGTTTACAATTTCATTATTTTTCTAGCTCTATAAGTATCTTTGTCAAAACGTTTACTTAGTTCTTTAAGTATCTTTGAAAAACTTTTTCGCTAGTTCTATAAATATTTTTGACAAAATCTTGGCGAAGTGATTCTTACGACCTAAGACAAAATGTCGTGGGGACAGAATTGTCTCATGACATAAGATAAAATGTCGTGGGGACAGAATTGTCTCACGAATTAGACAAAATGTCTACTGACTTAGACAAAGTTAATTAGAATTGTCTACTGACTTCGACAAAGTTAATTAGAATTGTTTACTGACTGCCTTATCGCCTAATGACAGCCATGTTTCTTGTATGACGCTGCCAAATGTGGGGCCAATAAAAATGATGAGTTGAGTCCCTTGAGCAGGCGGTGTCCCGCAATTTGCTGAATTCTGGGATAAGTAAGGGGGAGATACACGGCACATGGAAAACATACAGAGTTAGATCTTACAGATGACCAACATACATAGGCCTGACAGATGTCCAACATTCAAAGTTAGGTCATAAGATGACCAACATACACAGGTCTGACAAATGTTCAACAATTAGGTCATAAGATGACCAACATACAGAGGTCTTCAGCGAATCTCAAAGTTGATTCATCCACATGCACAAAGGATTATATTATCTTTAGGTTTTCAATAAGATTTTGTTTTTACACATCTTTACTATGTTTGTCTATTTATTTTGTTATTCGGTACTTTTACTTTAGAGTATAATTTTCAAGTCAATTTCTTATTTTCATAACAGTTTTAAGCAAAGTGTTTTATGAAATTCTCCTTTAGAGTATACATTTTCTTAGAGTTATGCTCCATTCAAAAGTGAAGCCATTTGGTAATGTAAACTCGGAAAGTTCATAATCCATATTCACAGTTTAATTTCTCATTATCACTGATATCATCAAATATGTTATCACATATGTTATCACACATTTCTAACATATTTTATCACATATTTTTATTACATATGTTCATGGGTTTATCTCTAAAACTATCCAATATTCGAAGACCCGCCCCCTTTTAAAAAAAATCCCCCGCTCCCCCTGAGGGTTAACTCCCCATGTTTAGAACCTCAAAGTTTGACCATCGTTGTAGACACTAATTTAGAAACTAGATCTAGCATGTTCGGAGAATCTAACGCTGGTGTAAACACGGAAATAAACTTCCGGTAACCGAAAGGACTGGTCAAGAAAGACGTGACAGTACACGCAGAGTTGACCATAGTGTACTGGAGAGTAGAGTTGACCATAGTGTACTGGAGAGTAGAGTTGACCATAGTGTACTGGAGAGTAGAGTTGACCATAGTGTACTGGAGAGTAGAGTTGACCATAGTGTACTGGAGAGTAGAGTTGACCATAGTGTACTGGCCAGTAGAGTTTACCATAGTGTACTGGAGAGTAGAGTTGACCATAGCTGGCCAGTAGAGTTGACCATAGTGTACTGGAGAGTAGAGTTGACCATAGCTGGCCAGTAGAGTTGACCATAGTGTACTGGCCAGTAGAGTTGACCATAGTGTACTGGAGAGTAGAGTTGACCATAGTGTACTGGAGAGTAGAGTTGACCATAGTGTACTGGCCAGTAGAGTTGACCATAGTGTACTGGAGAGTAGAGTTGACCATAGCTGGCCAGTAGATTTGACCATAGTGTACTGGCCAGTAGAGTTGACCATAGTGTACTGGAGAGTAGAGTTGACCATAGTGTACTGGCCAGTAGAGTTGACCATAGTGTACTGGAGAGTAGAGTTGACCATAGTGTACTGGCCAGTAGAGTTCACCATAGCTGGCCAGTAGAGTTGACCATAGTGTACTGGCCAGTAGAGTTGACCATAGTGTACTGGAGAGTAGAGTTGACCATAGTGTACTGGAGAGTAGAGTTGACCATAGTGTACTGGCCAGTAGAGTTGACCATAGTGTACAGAAGAGTAGAGTTGACCATAGTGTACTGGAGAGTAGAGTTGACCATAGTGTACTGGAGAGTAGAGTTGACCATAGTGTACTGGCCAGTAGAGTTGACCATAGCTGGCCAGTAGAGTTGACCATAGTGTACTGAAGAGTAGAGTTGACCATAGTGTACTGGAGAGTAGAGTTGACCATAGTGTACTGGCCAGTAGAGTTGACCATAGTGTACTGGAGAGTAGAGTTGACCTTAGTGTACTGGAGAGTAGAGTTGACCATAGTGTACTGGCCAGTAGAGTTGACCATAGTGTACTGGAGAGTAGAGTTGACCATAGCTGGCCAGTAGATTTGACCATAGTGTACTGGCCAGTAGAGTTGACCATAGTGTACTGGAGAGTAGAGTTGACCATAGTGTACTGGCCAGTAGAGTTGACCATAGTGTACTGGAGAGTAGAGTTGACCATAGTGTACTGGAGAGTAGAGTTGACCATAGTGTGCTGGCCAGTAGAGTTGACCATAGTGTACTGGAGAGTAGAGTTGACCATAGCTGGCCAGTAGAGTTGACCATAGTGTACTGGAGAGTAGAGTTGACCATAGTGTACTGGAGAGTAGAGTTGACCATAGCTGGCCAGTAGAGTTGACCATAGTGTACTGGAGAGTAGAGTTGACCATAGTGTACTG